GATAGATAGATAGATAGATAGATAGATAGATAGATAGATAGATGGATAGATAGATAGATAGCTGGATGGATGGATGAATGAGTGGACACATGAATGAACGGACTAATCTTGCAGGAGGAGCGTCCTGGCTTCCTGCCCTGAGCTGGAGCTGACAAAGGGAGGATTTGCTCTGCTGAATCCCAAAGAGAGGCTCTCCTTTGTGGAAGTGAGGGATCCACAACAGCCGCTTTGGACCAAACGCTGTGTTTTAGGCCCTTTCATGTGCTGGAAAAAGGCCCGGCTAATCCCCAGAGTCAGGGACTTCTCACCTAGCAGCGTCCTGGGTCAGAACCACACGGGTCAAACAACAACAACCCTATCCATAAAGCAACTGTTTATGGATCCCTTTGCTAACATATTTTTTCTATTTTGCAGTTCTTAACCCTGGGTCAGAACCAGACGGGTTTGGAGCTGTGGCCAAAGGGGGCGATGACCACTATCATGATGGTCTGTCCTAGAGACTTTGATTTTGATTTTCTCCAAGATATTTTATGGAATTTCCCCTTTTTTAAAACAAAAAACTTAACCTAGTATCATGTATTTATACAAAATATAAAAATATAAAAATGTATATAAATATATAAAAATATAAAAAACCCTATACAAAACAGAGAAAAATAACAATGAACTATATAAATAGAAACTGTAGTCAAGACATTCATTAATAAGCTCAACCTTTCACCTCTCATGAGCCTTTTATTTTTCTCCTTTTTACCATAACAAACTTAAGCTAGTAACATGTATTTATACACACTTACATTCAAACCTGCATTTATTTAATTTATTTAAAAAATTAAAAAAAAACCTTTAGATTAAGACAGAGAAAAATAACAATGAACCATATAAATAGAAACTAATAGAACAAATATAGAATAAAAAGGGGTCATCCTAGAGACTTTTATTTTGATTGTTTCCTGTTTGTAATCGTCTTTTTGTGAGTCGTTCAGTCTTTGTTCTTGTCCGGAAACCGTCTGAAACTAAGAGTCCTAAATAGAACTGAGTTAAACATTCAGAGTCCAGGTCTGTCTCACCTCTAATCCTGGTTTTAGGAGCCTGAAACCAGAAAATAATACAGTATTTAAACAAAAACGCAGCTAGTTTTGCATTTAAAAAAGAACTGAAAAACAAGGCTAGATTCTGATGATGACAAGGAATTAGAAAATGTTTTTAAAACAACCTTATTTAGGATAATGATGACAACTATTATATATACTGATGACAACTATTAATGATGACAACTATTATATATATCGGTCATTTTTACCGATTGTGGCAGTGATATTGTTATTATTATTCTCATTACTACTATTATTATTATTATTACTATTATTATTTGATTTCATCTTATATGTTTTATATGATGGGATTTATTCTACAATCTGTAGTCCTACATGGGACATGTATGTGACTTTTATGTGTATTTTCTGGGATCCCTTTGCTAATATATTGCTAATTGCTAATATATTTTTGTATTTTAATATATATATTGTAGCAGAAGTGGATATAAACCTTTAGGAGATAAAGCCAGGCTTATCTTAGACTGTGTGAGAGTAAACTGGTGTCAGTCACGCCCGTTTCTGAGCTCAGAGCTGAGTCCGTTTTCTGTCAAATCCCGTCTGACAGCCTCCATTCCTCCTCTCCAGGCTTTTCACAGCGATTCTCTCCGCTGCCATTCCACCTGCGATTCGTCCCAGCAGTAGTTAATTACTCATCCAATTAGCAGCTGTCAGGTACAGGTGCCCCCCCCCCCCCCCCCCCCCCC